AACAAAGGTGGATATGAAACGACAAAATAGAGCTAAAGCTGAGGAATCAGGGCACGAAGGTGTCAATTATTGTCATTCTTTCATATACACCATTAGTTTCTAGTAAGTAAAACTCAAAAGAATGGAAATGCAGATAAACACTCCAGTGACACCTTAAAAGAAAGCAATTCAGATAATCATGAGTAAGCTTCCCCTTGTATACATACAGAACAATAGTGATAGAGTGAGGATATTTGCTGAGCTTATTTAGATATAGGCAACTCAAACACTTTACTACCCAACACAAAATACATTGCATACATGCACAAGCACATAATACCAGTATAAGGCAAGAGCACATACGAAACAATGTGAAGAAATATTCTTACAAATTTTGCAGCCATCGCTTTCAAATCTATCCGAGGAATGAGTTTCACAGTGACTTTCTTCCGAGTATGATTCACTGCAACGACCTATATATAGTATTGGTAACATTCCAAATTAGCATCAAATTCTAATATCCCAAGTAATGTTTCAAAGATGGACCGAGATCACAAACTAGAGACCTCATTTAAGACAACATATGAAATGTATCATACCTGTGCAAGATCACCTTTGTATTTCCCATTCTTGACACGGGCCCACATTCCCTCTGATATTCCACTTGACAGGCTTCTGACTGACAGAAGATGAGAGATTTCATTATTGGGAACAGCCGCCACTCTACTTGGATATATACTGGAGATCCCTTTACATGCCTGTATTTTAACAAAATAGTAGGCAATCAGACGTTATCAGAAACTGTGCATGAATATGTACTTACAAACCCCACTACCAACACCCTCAAAAAAGAATAAAGATAACGAAAAAAAAAAAAAAAAAAAAAAAGGAATAATGATACTAGTGAAAGAGCAAGAAAAGCACCCCATAGATATCTTGTTGCTTTTCAGCTTCGATAAAGATAAAGCCCTTTACATGGTCAACCGCACATGCAGATATTATCTGCAGCTTACTTCCCAAGTAATTCATGTCTACAAACTTTTGCATAAGGCAGAAAGCTGAATATCTCTCACGTCCAACCTAGGAAGAATATTTGGACATGAACTTAACATACGAAAACATAATTGATAACTCAGCTCAAACTTTGCATTGAGTAAAGCCATAAGTTAACAGCATCTACCATGCATTTTACTTTCCAGACAACAGGATCCTTGGCAGAGGAAACAAAAAAGTTTTTGTCAATGGGTCTCTTCTGATCATAACGATCTTCCGCGTTAGTAACAAAACCAGCTCCAGGTTTGTATCGTTCTTCCATCATTCTATCATATTCCTCCTCCTCTAACACCTCAGCTTTTATAAAAGGAAGGTCAGGCCCTTTTGCAGATTCATTATCGTTTTGGAACTGTGAGATAAATTCATCTTCAAAAAAATCTGTTTCAAGGTAGGAAAAAGCATTCAGTAAACAGTAAAATTCATCTTCATTTTACTGTTTTCTCGAGTACAAGTACAACCGCAAGGAAGCTACAAGAAAGTGATGATAACTACATTCACAATGCAACAGATAAGCGCCCTCACATGCAACAATATCAACAGAAAAAAAAATCTAATAATATTCGGATCTCAGTCTCTATTTTACCGATAATCCTTGAAAAAATGAAGCTTGAAACCATCCCAAAAAACAACAACATTTCCTCCATCAAAAAGATTACCACATAACCAACCAAAAAAGTGGTAGAAAAATAATAAAAAAGAGGAAAGCCAACAACAAAGAAAACAAGCAAATGCAATACCGAAAACATAGCAAACAGAAACATTTAAAATTCTCTTTCCCTAGGGTTTAGCGTCAATCCATTACCGTCGACACTGAACAATGAATCGTCGCTAGAATCTTCTTCCTCGTCAACCTGGTACGCCGCGTCATCGAAGAACTGAAGCACTCCGCGGTTCTTCCGCTTCCGGCCAGTTTTGTCATCGTCGCCTCCGCCGGTGCTCTTCCTTTTGCCCTTTCCTCCGCCTTCAATTACCTTCTCCTTGCCCTTATTCGAAACCATGCCGATGACACCAAAATTTTCGCCCAATCCTCTATAAATCGATTCTAAAATGTCTAGCTATGAAATAAGTACAGTCGCGGTCTTGAGACTTCAGACGGTGGGAGAGTGAACGAAGAGAAATGACAATTTTGTGCGCATAGCCCATTAAAATAACCCTTGCTGACGGCATTATCTTATATATACGTATATAAAGAGTAGTAACATACCACTTAATTATATTATCATGTTAAATTTTATTATCCCTCCAAAATTTTCAAAATTCAATTTTATTTTAAGTTATAAAATAATTTTGCTTGAATGTCATAAATTATGAGCATAAACCAATCAAGGGAGTTACAAAATTGTACTCAAAATTTAAGTCACACCCACTCATGAAAATGATCTGATGTATTAGCATAAAGAAAATGGTTGTAACGGTTCTTCCATAGCAATTACTTGATCAAAATCAATTTTGAGAATTATTTTCTTAATTCACATTTTTTCATGAATTAAATTATGATTTATTTTTATTTTTTTATATTGTTATCTTTTTTAAAATACTCTTCTCTTAAAGAAATAACGATGAATCTCAGTTAATCTATCAAGATAACGATAATAATCAAGTCAAATTTTAGTAATGACAGTCAAATTCGCGTAAGATTGTAATATTATGTACAATATTCAACGTGACGTGGAAAAAAATTCATATGAATTTTATATGTCAACACTTCTTCGCACACGTCAGATTCTAGCTATCGGTCTTTTTATATTTCATGTACATTTTCCAAATAAGCAGAAGTGGTGATATAATTTGTTTATTTTTTCGAAACGATATGAATCACATAGACTCAGGAAACAAACAAGACTAGAAAACAGCTACTCAGCCGAATAAAACAGCTAAATCGCTAAATCTAATTGGGAAGACTACACAAACAGATGATAGTCTAGAACCAACATAAAAACACCTCAAAACACTAAAGAACTCATAAAAGGAGAAAAATAAAAGCTCCCACAAGTGAGAATACACCAAAGGCATTCCCAACGGGAGAGAAAAAAATAAAACACAACCTAAACACAAAAACACAAAAACACAAAGACAAGTACAACTACAACTACATCTACCCTTCCCACAACAAGAAGCCTAACCAAACGAAACTGTAGCGACACCAACCAACATCCATCCACATGGACAGGGTCACGACCTAGGAACCCGACCCAAAAACTGCAAGACAACGCCTATTTAGGTCCAACACCCTTGACCCCACCCATCCAAATGGACATCCCACCCACGCCCGGAGGCCTTCTCCCCCACAACCACCCAGCCCGCGCGCAAACTCAGAAATCGGCAACAGAAAACTGGTCCACAACCCACGACGCCGATCATCCTCTCTGCCCAACACCAGATCCGAAGACGACCACTGTTGAAAAGGGCAAAAATCCACCACTCCAAAACCCCATATCTTAGAAAATAAAGCCGCAACCCGTTCTTGAAGAAATGTCGGAGGACCGCCGTAACGAAGAATCATGGGAGTTGGCCGCCTGTCACATCGCCCAAGCATTCGCTGTGAAACGGAGGCTAGGACGAGTGTCTGTTCCTCCCAGACGAAGAAGCCCACCTCTAGGCGGCGATTCTTTAGGAGACGGGCTGCGATGCCCAGGGGCTTCACCATCGGCCGTTCGGAGAATCCCATTGGGGAAGGCGTCGGAAACAATAATAGAAGAGGCTAAGAGCATCTCCAATGTGACTTTTGACATTGTAAAAATTTATCCATATCATCAATTCTTGAAATTTTGTTACTAATTTATTCTCCAATGCATCTTGTCATTAGCTCTTTCATGATGATGTGGATGGCATTTAATATTGACATTGTTGAACTCACTTTCTAATATCTAACACCATGTTAAACATGATGACTCATCAATTCACTTTATATTTGATTTATTTTTTTATTATTTTTGTATCAATCAATTATTATAATTGGTCCACCTATACAAATAACTTCTTATCAAATTGATGCATTGGAGATACTAATTTGATTCAAATTTTCATTCTTTTAACATTATTCCTATGTGGATTAACATTACAATCATTAATTGACATGTGTTATAAATCATTGGCTTTCAAAAGCATAGCATTGGAGATGCTCTAAGACACAAGAGAGGTTTCAACAGAGAGAGTGAGAGAAATTTTTTTGTGATATAATTTGTCAAAAATCGTAATTAGAATACAAATTTGCAAAAGATCGTGATACTACATGAAATTTTGTCTTTTTATTAATTATATCCTCAAATCTCTTATAAAAAATAATGAACATTGAAATATATTGAAAATATTAGTCAGCATCATTATAGAAGAAAACGTATACTATCTATCTTCCCCGATACGCGAAATGCGTGCTTGCACTTGGATGTTGCTAGTTCCTTTTCATGTTCTTTTACATAAATATAGGAAAAAATTAAACTTTGTCTACCGAACTATCCGCGTTTTTACACTTTGCCCACTCAACTTTTTCCGGTGACATTTTACCCCTTCAACTTCACATTTTCTTGCACTTAACGACTTCCGGCCACCGGAGAAAGGGCAAAGTGTAAAAACGCGAATAGTTCAGTAGGCAAAGTGTACTCGTGAAGACTAATTTGAGGTGTCTCCTAAGGTATAAATGACGATTTTGCCCTTGATTTTGCATCTTCGGTGCCGGAAGTCGTTAAGTGCAAGAATATGTGAAGTTCAAGGGGTAAAGTGTCACCGGAAAAAGTTGAGTGGGCAAAGTGTAAAAACGCGGATAGTTAGGTAGGCAAAGTATAATTTTCCCTAAATATACACTCGACGAAGCAAAATAAATTGTGTGAACCAGAGGACAATTTTGGTAGATGAATACATTAATGCGTTCTTGCACTTGGATGTTGCTAGTTCCTTTTCATTGTTCTTTTACATAAATATAAACTCGAGGAAGCAAAATAAATTGTGCGAATCAGAGGACAATTTTGGTAGATGAATACATTTGACGAGCACGATAGAAAGATCAGAGCAACTTTCAATAAATATTGCAAGGCAGTGCCACTGGCAGGAAATTTTTCCCATCCAACATTTCAAAAATGATGATGCAAACTCAGCTTTGTTTGCACAAAACAATTCAGTTTTCAGTCTTCCCAACTCAGAGTTCTATTCTAAAATTCTTATACAAGTAACAAATCTTCCTTTTTATCCATTAGCCCAAAGGGATTCGTATTTACCTCGTCAAAAAACCAACATCAGTCAAAACATTACCCTAATTCAGAATTCCCATTTCAAACATGCCACAGCAATTAAACTTAGTACAGAGTGCAGAAAATATAATTTTGTCCCGACCGAGCATGCAAATGGAATAACATGTCCATTGGTCTCATTTACAAACTTCCATTTTTCTGCCCTTTTTTTGTTTAGTTTTCAGTGTAATATAACCAGCCACAAAATCACATTGAAGAAACAAGGGTTTCCTCTTGAGAAGTGTCTCGAGAGAGTGAACCACTCATCCACCTTCTCAGCATTTCCAAAGCAGATTTAGGCTGGTCCATTGGAACCATGTGTCCAGCATCATGTACCTGTTTGTTTCATAAGAAACAAGAATGTTAGGGTGCGTTTGTTTATAAATTTATCCAATCCATACTCAATTCATATTCAAAATCTAGCTCAACTTTAACCCAACTCCAGTATCTTCAATATTATTAATATAATTAAATAACACCAAACAATCATTCTTATACATCACATTAATTTTAATTCACTATTCATCCACTTCCATAATTTTAACTAACCATCACTTCACATCATCTCTCTCCTTTTTCTTTTCTCTTTTTGTCTTTATAAGTAAATAGGCTATAGATATCGAAGGTAGTATTTGCAATCATCCACTTAAAATCAATTAACTTAAAAGACATGTTCAGAGAGAGGGATCCAAACCTTCAAGAAACTAAGAGGTCCGTGGCTTTTCAATAATCCTGCTTCCGAACCATCAACTTCAAAAGGAACTTCAGGGGATGCCACAAACTCTTTCTGACCATTCCACTCCATTGCGTGGACCCACCTCGAGTTACCTGCCCGATAAAAAAAATAAAAAAAATCACAATTTGCAGCCATTTGATGAGATGAAAATAATTTTACAAGAATACTCTCAGATGGGGGAAGTAAACCAAGTGTGGAACTGACCGAGCCAGTTGCAGATCAGGTCATATTCGCCAGCGTACACCAGCAGCTTCACTCCGTTATCTAGAAGCTCTGGAATACCCACTTCAAGATTCCTCATCCAGTCCATGAGCATGGCCTGGTAGACAGTTGTACTACAAGGTACAAACTCTATGTCTCGAACCCCAATTGCGTCCCTCACAGACTTTTGGTTGAGGTATTTTTCCAGGTTTGAGAAGTCGTAGCATAGACTGCCTTCACACTCCTTTCTAATATCGTAATACTGCAGAGAGAGAAGAAAAAAACACGAGAGTGGAGAGTTAGGGGCAAATGAATATTGTATTATGCCTGTTCCTTGTATTTCTCTTCAGTTTGTTTTCCTAGTGAACATCCATCTCAGAGATTAAAAAAATAAAATAAAATTATACATTAGATTTTCGAACTCATTATGCGCACATGAGATCATAGATCGTTAGCACTGAATTCATTTCATCCATAACGTGAAAAACATTATCATTTTTTGCGCATGCACAGAATATTGATTGATTGCTCATGTTAGTCACAAAGTGAGAAAGTGATTTAAGTTTCTTACATTCACATTTCCAGCATGTGCAATAATAGAACTGAATATTGTGTTGCAAACGAAGTAGGCAGCCATGCAGGATAATGTCCCATCAGTTCCTGTAAGATAAAACAGTTTTCACACTAATAGCAGCTCCAGCCAGAAAGAAACAGAGCTCGGAGCAAGCATATACTGGCATTATCACTAGTGATGAGGAAACAACAAATGAAGTGGCAATGCAGAGAAGAAAAATCAATGGACATAAATATATATTTAAAAAAAATGTTATTACATGAAAATAAGTATATGTGAAAATTACATTCAGAAAAAGAGTAAAGTTTACCACAAAGTTTTATGGATGTTTCACAGAGCGGAAGCACCTTGTTGATACGATCATGCTGAGTTTGCGTAAGTATTCCCATATTAAGAGCATAATCAGCATATGCGCCATACTGAATTGCTGGGTCTGTGAGCCCATTTCCAATAGCAAATCCCTGTGTAGTTACATCTAATAAGAAAAGTAAAGGGGTAAAATACAGACCCTTTTTTATTATGCATTGGGAATACCTTTAAATTTATATGAATTCCATCTTTCTCTTTGTTTCCTCGGTAGACACGAGCTGCAAAAGCTGGAATATAGTGTCCGGCATATGATTCTCCAGTAATGTAGAAATCATTCTCCGCCAGTTCAGGATGCTCCTTGAAGAAAGCCTGTACCAAAAATTATTTACTGATGAGAATCAAAAGATGCATTAAGAAAAAAAGAGTAAATCATATTTAATTTAACTTATCACATTAAAAATTGTAAATACTACACACAGACAGGTAGGGTCGAGGACAGAAATACCAAACCATTCCGAGAACCGAACCGAAATCACTCCAAACAAAAAAAAATCATTGACTGTTTGACTTTATTTGAACCACAGAGAAAAGAATCGGGACGATACTAGAAATTTCACAAATAATATTATAATTTATAATATTTTGCATAATACTTTATAACATATAGTAATAGCAATTAAATTCACATAAGTTTAGTATTTCCAAAAGTTTAATTATGTTACATTTTTGTCATTTTTCTTACTTTTACGCTTCTTATAGTTGAATGAAATGAAAACTAAGAAAATGAACTTACCAAAACCATATATATTTTTTTAAGAGTTTAAATTTCCACCACTAGTTTGCAGAATTATAGCATTAACTAAAACTGTGATTTATTTTTATCTTTTCTCATTTTTTTAAGGTTGATTTCAAAACAAAATCTTTAATAATTAATAAGATTAAAAATGCACAAAAGTTGAAAGTTTAAAAAATATATATAATTCAAGATAACAAGATATTAGTTTGAAAATAGTGATTGCAATTATTCATTACTTTTGTGTTCTAATTTAATAATTAAAATTTTTATATATCCGACCCAATCCGAACTGTCCGATAGCCCCAAATCTCCAAAATGTAATCAAGCCGAAATATAAAGATCTCAGACGGTTCTGGAGATTAGATTTTGATGATATCCAATTTTGATTCTAAAGATTTCTAAATCTCCAAATTGAATCGAGCCATGCTCACTCTAAATACAAGACGACTTACACTACAGCTAAACATTCACACAAGATTCTGATCAACATAAATCACGCATCCATGGCGTACTGTGTAACATATTCTCAAACTATATGTCATCTTATAATTGGGCTTGCATCTAGTCTATTTTAATGTAACTTATAATAGTAAGGCAAAAGTATAATGATTTCGTATCGATGAAGTTGCAAGTTCATAGTGAACTTTAAGAATAACAACAATGTACCTTATACGATTTTCAATACATTTGGTAAGTGTTACTAATAGATTCCCACCATCAGATGATCCTTCGGCAAACACTTAACGGGAGAATGTCATAATTAGAATCAGAAAGATTGTTATGTGGTGGAAATTCAACCAAAACGTATATCTTCCAAAGTAACTCAATCATAATCGAACAACTAAACATTCTATATCCGATCCAATTTGTGTTCTAATTTAATAAAAATTTCCATATCCAATCCAATCCGAATTGTCTGATAGCCCCAAGTCTCCAAACTAGAATTAAACCAACATATAATTAACTCCGACACTTCCGGAGATTGGATTTTGATGACCTATGATTTTTGGTTCGATTCTGGAGATTCTAAATTTCCAAATTGAATCGACCCATGATCACTCTAAATACAAGACTTAACTTACACTACACCTAAAAATTCACACAAGAATCTGATCAACACAAGTCACACGGAATGTGCTTTTAAGGTGGGAGAGACAACTTTTACATTGAAAAACGTCTTAAAAGTTTTAAGAGTAACCTACCACTTTTTCACAATTGTCTATGTATTGTTTCTATTGCGCCCTGGTTGTGGAGAGGTAATTTCCAATGACCATTGCCAAGGAGGGCCATGGCAGCGCGGCCATTTTGAACTATGATCTCTATATAATTGGACTCTACAAAACATTACTTTGATTCCTTGACATGGTTACCCCTTATAGACTTCCCATACTTAATCACAAAAGGTTCATCACTATGGAACATGCTATGTTCTTCCTTCTATATATCTGTAATAGTTGAAGAAGCTGGCCTAACAACGATATCTTCTCAAATACAAGACTAAAGTACAACAAATGTTCAATCAATTACGTGGCCTAGACGGCCTTTCTTTCTTTACAAAGACAAAGTATCAATAAGTTTGCTACTCAGCGAACATTGAACTCACTGATGGTATCTACTACCCATTAAAAGTCATTAGGAAGATATGCTGGATCAAGTTTTATGAGGAAGTTTCTACTTGAATTTGCTGCAGCTTCTTCAGTGGGTGGTGAAATGGAAATTGGTGCTTGACTAAGGAAATAAGACAGTGGCTTGGAGGATCATATGTGCAAACTGAAAACATATCCTCTGAAAAATGACCATAGTTGTAGAGTTGAGAAGTAGATATTAACTGCCAAGAAGGCACGTATGGGGTTAACTGACCCTGTATATTTCGGATACATTTCAGATACAGTTTGAAATTGACTTGCAACACTCCCACAAGGCTTATAGGATAGCTCAGTGTAAAGACTACCACCAAGTAAACCATATTTGATGTAATGTTTCAACTATAACAGATATTAGAATTTTTATAGGCTTATAGGATAGCTCAGCATAAAGACTACCACCATGTAAACCATATTTGATGTAATGTTTCAACTATAACAGACATTAGATTTTTTTTATTCAAACAACTCTCTCTGCTAATACAGATTTCTCTGTTAGCAAGCTGCAAATCTGTAATTCAAACCAATGACACCTCAAAAAGACATGTTCTTACATTACTTTAAAAGGCATAGTTAGCATAACAAAGAACTATGTGTTCCTTTGTGTTATATAGGATAGAGAAGGAGAAAATTAAAAAACATCTACCTGCATAAAGTCATATAAGTCATCGCTGACACCCTTTTCGTTATGGCGAATGTCGCGCCTATCAGAACTATAGCTAAAGCCAGTTCCAACAGGCTGGTCGACAAACAAAATGTTTGAAACCTGCAAAGTATCATAAAAATAATATGAAAATAAATAACATGGAAGCAAGTTTCGAGCCTTTTTATGACAATCAATATGGTCCAAACAAAAATTTAAATACAACAAAATGTAACTTCAGCAAGAAAAAGATTATAAACCAGAAAACAGAATTAGAAGTAAAAATTAGAATTATCCTGCAGACACTCTCACCGAACAGAATCTTAATGTGAGTTATTTTCCTATTATCGTTATTTAATTGCCAAATATCTGCCGACCTAATAACAAAAAAATTACGCATCACATTTTCATAGTTATTTTTCTGAGATCATAGTAGTATAAGGATATTCACACAGCTCATTACATTTTGTAGTCCCTAAAATAAAAGGGTATCATATTCATCAGATAAACTTACCTGGTCCCAGCCATAGTCATTGCGCACTAGAGATAAGTTATTGGCAATAGTGAAAGGGCCATTTTCAAAGAAAAGGGCCATCTCACTACTACAACCTGGCCCACCAGTTAACCAGATAACAACAGGGTCTTTATTGCTATTTTGTGATTCAAAGAAAAAGTAAAACATCCTGCACATCAAGAATACCAGTTTAGGCTCAATTTAAACACCAGGCACCGCAACAACATTACAGACCGACGTTCAACAAATTGGAATAGGCTTTAAGTTGCTTTAACGTGCAGAAAGTTATCAGATTAAGAGTGTTTACTTGTGTTAAGGGTTGATTTAAATGCTTACATCTGTAAATTGACCAAAAATTTTGAAAGCCACAATTATGAACCTTAATGAGGTACACAGCTCTAACAATAGGAACACTTCCAAGCATGGTAACTAACTATACATGGTGTGTTTACATGAACCCACTTTTCATTCCATTGTGATTCTCCTCTTGATTTCATACCAACTGAACTGGGCAATAATTATCAAATACAATTCATTCATTCAATTAAAAAAAAAAATTAAAACATATCAATGCCTCAAGCCTGACAAAAGTATATAAAAGTCAATCCCATGTTTAAGAATCAACCTGGCGTCATGAGAATGCTCAATCTGATAGTAACCGGCATGGTGACCTAATTCCTCCAACGAAACTCCGCTGGGATCGACCGAATCCGGGAACCTAAATCGCTTCTCGACGAGCTTTGGAACGTCAACAGTAGTAAGGTCGCCATCGACGATGTTGATCGGTGAGTTGGGAAACAGATTGAGATCTTGAATCAGCTTCTCGGCGGCACCAGACGGCAGCCTGGGCGGCGCGCGGAGCAAGGCGGCGGCGGGGGAGATCTGCAAGAGGAGGAGAAGAGAGAGGATGCTTAGGGGGAAAGCACACATTTTCGTTGGATTTGTTAGGCTCACTCTCCTCGTTTCCATTTGTTTCAAATTTTACAGAACGAAAAAGCAAAATATCGGCTTCACCCAAAGCATTCTTATCCTTT